TCATCAGTGATAACAAATTCTTCTTTATAATTGTTTTGATCTTCATCCTTTTTATTTTCCTAAAATATACTTTCAGTTAAAGAATTATACTGTTCTATTTCAATATTATACTAATCTTGAATATTATTATGATCAATATTTTCCAAATTTAAATATATCAGAAATTCTACATTATTGTTATAAAGAGGTGTTGTCAAAGGTATTATATTTGTATTCAGAGTACTTGAACCATTTAATAAGATATTTTTTGCTGATAAAATTGATAATGATATATCAGTAAAAACATTTTGCTTGTTTTCATTTTTCTGTTTTAGTTTGCATAGTCAAAATGAAATATTTTGAATTTGCTATCATTTAGTTAAACCTATTTTACAGCTTTTAAGAAATATTTGATATTAAAATATGAAAAAGTAATTAAAATTAAAGGATTTGTAGTAGATTAGATGAAAATAAAATAGAAAAGCAAACAAAAAATGAAAATAAAGATCCAATAAAATTGAAGATAATTAATCAACAAAATAAAGATCAAAGTGAAAAAGATTAAAGAAAAAATTAATAATTAATGTATAGTATGAAAATTAAAGATATAATTAAAAAGAAATTTTAACAATAAGGTGAGTAAGAAAGAACTGATTATAAAGAAAAATAGTTTAATTTGTTTTATTAGGCATAAGTTTGTTAATTCAGTATTTATACAAATTCTTTGAACTTTTTGAAAATATTAGAACTTATATTCATATAGTAAGTTATATTAAGTTTAATTAGTAATCTCTAATTTGTAATCACAAATAGTTATTTTTTAATTTGTAATTACAATACTAATGAGATTAATTAAAAAAATTTAATCTAAAAAAATTTGAATAATTTGAATCTAAATTAGTTAAAAAAAAATTAAATGAAAGAAAAGTTCAAATGATTTGGATCTAAATTAGTTAGTAAAAATTAAGTGAGTTTTAAAAATAATCAAATATCAAATATAAATTAATTAATCTTCAATTAATAATATCTCTAATTAATTAAAAAAAAAGGTACTGCAAATTAAAATAACTATATATAAAGGCATTTTTTTAAATTTTACATTATTTTATCTTTAATCATGGGTAAAAGAGGTAGAAAAAAAACTAGTTAGAGTTCATCAACTAAGGGAAAAGCTTTACAATGTTCATTAGCAACTAGGTGAAGTAATTTTAATGAACTAAAAGATAATTCAAGTTTATCATCTTCTACCTCTACTTTAAGCGAAATAACTTTGATGAACTAGAAGATAATCCAAGTTTATCATCTTCTACCTTTACTTTAAAGTGAAATAACTTTGATGAACTAGAAGATAATCTAAGTTTATCACCTTCTATCTCTACTAAGCAAAATAGAAATCAGCCTGAAACTAATGTTGATGATGAAATTTAAATAATTAGTTCAGGTAAATAATATTTAATAAAACTTTATATATTACTTATAAAAATTGACTAAATTATATTAACTATTTATAGAAGCTTATAATGAAAGTATTTTGAATAATAAGCGAAGTAAAAATAATTATAATAGTATGTGATAGAATAATAAATATATATTTTTATGTTTATTAATAAATACTTATAGAATTTATAATATTTTAATACAAAAACCTTTAGTCAATACTACTAAAGATAAATTTGTATTGATTAAAAGATCTTAATCTATTGAAGGCTTTTCTGATGATAATACTGATTTTTGGCAAGAATTTTCAACTTTAGCTGATGATTCAGATGATAATATAAATCAAAAAGAAATTAATCAAGAAATTATTGATCAAGAAACTAATTTTTTACTGGCAAATTAACAAACATCAATTATTATATCTAATATTTTACCATTATCTAAAACTCTACCAGTTACATTATCTAATACTCTACCAGTTATATTATCTAATACTCCACTGATTATATCATCTAATACTTTATCAGTTATATC